TTCTGCTGAAATTCAAGTGGGAATATCTCGAAAACCAGAAGTTATTTCTAGCTGAAATTTCGATTTTTGTATCAGGAACATATGACAATCGAGGAGGTGGCACGACAAGGCCCTGTCCACTGCGTTGCTCCTGATACATTGCTTTATTGAAAAAATTTCAAGCCGAAATATCTCGAAAACCAGAAGTTATTTCTAGTTGAAATTTCGAATTTTGTATCAGGAGCATATGACAATCGAGGAGGTGGCACGACAAGGCCCCGCCCACTGCGTTACTCCTGATACACTGCTTTTTTGAAAAAATTTCAAGCCGTAATATCTCGAAAACCGGAGGTTATTTCTAGCTGAAATTTCGAATTTTGTATCAGGAGCATATAACAATCGAGGAGATGGCATGACTAGACACCAAGTGGAGCATATCTCCTGATGCATACCTTTCTCGAAAGAATTTCAAGCGGGAATATTTCGGGAACGATAAGGATCTTCTGGTTGAATGTTTCGTGTCAGAAGAATATTGGATTCTAATAGGGTTTCTAATAGTTTGCTTATCAGCTTTATTGTTCCTATTGTCCAGTTTATATCGTGAAATAGAGAAAGAAAAATGTTTGCACCGTCTAAACTGAACTGTAGGTTGCGTAGTTCTTACCTCGTTTTACATACATTAAAGTTTGTAAAAAGATATCAATTACCACAAGGTCTCACCACGAGAAGGTGACTACACACGAGAGAGAGAAAGAGAGAGAGAGAGAGAGAGAGAGAGGTGGATTAATATTTATGGTTGGTAAAATATGCGGATGGAGCCGACGGTATAATTTGCTACGATTTGACCGGAGGGTCTAGGTCTAGACACAACCGAGGAACCCTTCTCGGTTTAATTTTCGGCTACCGAATTTGGAGCGGGCTTCGTTATTGGTACCTGTCTCCTCTCGTTCCGTTCTACGCCTCCTTCGTCCTTCCTTTCTTCTCCTCTTCGTCCTCTGTCGCCCTCCACCTTCTCCTCTTCTCTTTTCCTTCCTCGTCGTTTCCTTTTCTTTCTTTTCCTCTCCATTTTCTTCCCCTCCCCCCTTCCTCCTCTCTCGGTCCCTCTTCCCCCCCTTCATTCAGGAGCCTGTCTCTATCCGATGATGTATCGGCCAGCAGCAGCGCTACCACCACCTGAAAAAAAGCAAAGATGTATCGGCGCGCCTCCTAATTCCCATCGGCGAAACCCGCGAAATTCATTCGATTGTTGAATTTCAATGGAGCACCGTTATGATGGATCGAGTGGCTGAGGGTGTGGGCGAAAGGAAATTAGAAGCGGATCGATGGTGGTTCGTGTATAACGAAATGTGGTTTTCTCGTCCTACCGGAGGGACGTGGAACAGGCTGCCGATTTGTGTACGGATATTTTTTCTCTTGTTGCGGGCTCGCGTCGGAATTTCGTTATTTCTGAAAATGGCTTGGAAGTTGGCTCACTTTGGAGATTTCACGCGAGAGGTAGGAACGATAAGAGTCACTTGACCAATGATATGTTTACTCGTTCTTGGATATTGTTGGAATTGTACATAGTTTGTTTGAAAGTTGACATTTTCACTTTTCTTTTTTCTCTAGAAAATTATTCAGCTACAGGTTGCTCCAGAAATATGAACAGAGATAATTGTTTGTAGATACGTATACAATTAATGTGAACATGTATAATACATATTTATTATTACACTCATAAAAAATATTAAATTAGTCCAATTATTCAGCTACAAGTTGCTCCATAAATATGAACAGAGATAATTGTGTATAAATTTGTATACAATTTATGTGAAACATAAATAATACATATTTATTATTACACTCCTAAAAAAATGTGCCAATTTCCAGTGAAACAAATACGGTCAATTTTATATGATTAGATCTCGTCAAGACACACGTGCTTTATCTCTTTTCTTTTATAATAGGCCGTCAGAATTTAAATAAATAAATAAACAAGTAAAAAGTATATTCGAACACACACGTTCCAACGTATAATTTAATGCAAATTGAGATCAGCTATGGGACATAAATAGCAACAGAAGCAAACAAATCAACCAATCAGAAAACACATTCCGACATGTCAACGTCTACGAATATTGCCAAACAGTTGCGCAAGAAGAAGAACAAGAAGAAGAAGAAAAAAAAGAGAGACAGTGATTCCTGTCAGTTATGCCGAATTTATCGGATTTGTCTCGCTATCGGTCTCCCGAATCTTATTGGCCTCTCGAGTTTTACTGACCGAAAGCGAGGGAGATCCACGGTCGTATTTAATCCCGATTCTCGATGGAACAGGCTGCGGTGGCTACCGTGCTTGAAAACGCGTGGGCCGGAAGGCGCGCGTGGGCACATTCACGGTTTGGTGGTTTCCGCCCACGTGGTGCCGGCGATTTTTCTCTCCTCGTCAAAGTTGAGCTTGTTTCTTAGCTGTAAAAAAAAAACGCACAGACAACGTGACGATCGCCATTATTTTCACCTTTTGCGCTAGTAACTGGTTCACGGACCATAACGAGTGACCGAACCGTACACAATGATTCGTCTTTTCTGAATTCATCGGTATACCGCTGGTTAAAGATAAATTTATTACTTGTTTCGCCTGTTTTGTTTCACTTAAATATAATAATATAAAATATAGTATGTAATATAATATAAATATAATGTAAAATATAGCATGTAATATAATATAAATATAATAATGTAAAATATAATATAAATATAATATAAATATAATAATATAAAATATAATTTATAATATAAATATAATAACATAAAATATAATTTATAATATAAATATAATAATATAAAATATAATTTATAATATAAATATAATAACATAAAATATAATTTATAATAGAAATATAATAATATAAAATATAATATATAATATAAATATTAATAATATACTTAAAACTGAGGAAATATTGCAATTTTGGGCCAAATATTCTCGACGTGCGTGGCAAGTCATTGTAGCGCAAGCAGTTAAAAGTATTTAACACGTGTACATATGTAAATATCAAACATCTCGCGGAAATTTGTTCGAGGCGCTCGTCGTGGAAAATTTTTATTAATTGTTCCTGTCGTAGAAATTTTTGACGAGTGTATTTTCGTTGATATATGTGTGTATAAATTTTTTTTGAAATTTCATTAGTGCCGAGATAGCGAGACGCGACACGCGTTGGTCGTGTATATCGGTAGGATGTGAGAATGTGTTTCGAAAATGTTTCATCCCGTTATGCGTACTCAATATTCTACATTTCATATTCTGTATTCCACATTCCACATCTCCGTATTCCATACGTCATATCCCATATCCTATATCCCACATTTCAACATCTCGTTCTTTGCATTCCGTGTAATATCCGATTATCCCTAGACAATATCCTACATTCCGTGTTTTGTACCTCGCATCCTTTCCAATTTCCAATGCTGTCAATTAGGATGTAAGAACGATGCCCATGAAAGCTACGTAACTGCCACAAAAGATCATTAACGAAATTTATCATCCAGAGTGTTGCTAATTTCGTTTGATTTGCAAAGTATTGCTTTCTCGATTGATTCTTTTTCAGAAGAGGAACTGTGAATTTATGTATTTATGTCTCGAGTGTAACTTAAATTAATTGACCAACTGTTAAGATTGCCGTAATAGTTTTTTCTTCTTTTTCAATTAAAAATCCTCTATCTTTCCGACGTGTCGTTTCAGTTTTGTTAAAAACAAATTGTTACCATTTGTAAAAATCCTTAAGTCCAGTCTGCTCTTGTTAATTTTTAATTGAAACGTCTGGTTAAAGACGATAGTAACAGATTAATATACAAGTATCTCGAGCTCTGGAGTAAGAATCAAGCTTCTAACGTTCTCGAGTAACTCTTCAGGACAGGATAAAGTAAAGAGAAGTTGTTGAGCTGGAGATTTATGCTGACTTAGGCTTACGAATTCATCGTGAACAAGACGACGACGTGTATTATCGATTAAACGGAGTGGACAATACGAGCAGCGCCTTTTGTTTAATTTAGTTGATGGACGCGCCGTGTCGCGTTACTTATTCTAGTTCGCGGCGAAACAATTCAATTATCAAAACAGGTCATTGTCTCGGTCACCTGCGCGGCTTAGAAGCTATTGGACTTGGATTTAAACTAATAGGATCTATTCCTTAGTGTTGATTTAATGCATCGATGTTGCAATTTTCTAGGACGTATGATAAGTAGAACAGATATTGACAGTGAATCAGAGTACGTTTGTGTTTATATCGGAGAGATTTATAATCGGCGTTTCAATTCATAAAGTAGAAACATTTTTTTGAAGTGTAGAAGTGACTTGAATTTTACAATGGAAACGGGATCAATTTTAATAACAGAGTTTCGTGAAATTTTGCAATTCAAATTTTACATAATAATAAATTTTCTTTTATTTCAATTATTCAATTGCCGCGTAATTAAATTTGCTTTGTACAATGTATTGTAAATTTATTACGCTGTGAATGGAAGATCAGACAGAATTCCAACAGAATTGTTACGAAAGGAATTCTGCCTGGTCTGTCTTTCAAAATGGTTGTCCAATTAAAAGTTCATTTGCATAGTTGGCGAGTGGAGTGGAATAATGAGAACCGACATAAGAGCATAAAGATAGACCAGAGAGAGAGAGAGAGAGAGAGAGAGAGAGAGAGAGAGAGAGAGAGAGAAAGAGATAAGTGGGTATCTGTTTGATCACAAATTCCAACAAGATTGATCATTTTTACAGACAGGAGTCTACATTCTACGTAAAAAACTTACCTGACAATTAATATTGATTATCGATATTAATTATTTTATTCTGGTAATTCTAGTAATCACCGAGATTTACGATGCAATTTCGGAAAAATGTTTGAACAACACAGAAAATATGAGTGTGAAACGTACTAAATAAATAAGTAAATAAGTAATAAATAACCATGTACTATTGTACTGTAAATAAATAAGTAATAAATGTAAAAGTCGATCTAATAACAGCTTTGTTTCGTGATTTCCAGGGCTTAGACAGCAGCGGGAGACCAGTTTTCGTCTTCTACTTACGCGTTCGCTACTACGTCGACACGCCGTTGCTCTTAAGGTAATACTTCCACCCAGATTTCTCAATCGGTAGTCACATTCTTACATAATCGTCATAATACTATCGACTGCTATTCATGTTACTACGTTGCTCAATACTATTCCAAATACCTTCTAATTCATACTCGCATTCAACACACAGCGCGAACTCAATTTCACGTAAGAGCCAGAGTTGTTTGAATCGCCGAGGCCCCGATATTTCAATCTTTTAATATCGTAGACGTCGAAACTTAGGTGCAAACTGCATAAAGATTGAATCTAATCGTTCGCATTTCATGCACTGGTAACGAAAGAATTCCGAGGCGTGTATTGAAAAATATTAAATGAAACACAAGGAACGCGGAGATGAATGAAAGAGTACAGAGATTGAGATACAGATTACGCAAGTATGCGTACAGCGTTGGAAAATTAAATTTCGAAAGTTTTCTCGTACGAAAAATGTTTTCTCGTACCAAAACATTTAGTAAGTTATCTTAAGATTGACATTATTTTCAAACGCTGAAAATTTCACGCTGACAAGAGTGAAACGAGCGTTTAATTTCCAAAGAGTAGATCGCTGAAAAATTTGGCGAATTGCCGAGCAAAAGTCTCTTTTTTTTTTTTTTTTTTTCGATATTCGAATTAACCCGTGTAGAGTCGAGCTACGTCGCTCGAGACGCGCAAGGGGCGAATAAAAACTCCGGTAGTCGGATCGGGGTTACATCGGCTGACAAATTATTCACTCGAAAGAGGCTGGCCACTCGTAGGAAGCTAAATTAGTCGAGGACGCTCCGGCCATCGGACAGGCCCCCAAATGGATTGCAGAATTAATCGGAGTAATTAGCGTTCCGCTTCAAATACTCCCCTGGTGCCACCGTACCTGGCTAAACAGCCTAAACCCACGTAGTCTACCGGCCTTCTACATCTCCCTTTTGCTCCTTTTCTCCTAGCCGCGATGTATCGCGATTACAAGGGTTCCTCCGCTTTGTCCTCGTGATCGACGAAGAGAGAGAGAGAGAGAGAGAGAGAGAGAGAGAGAGAGAGAGAGAGAGAGAGAGAGAGAGAGAGAGAGATAGGCACGAAACACGGGTCAGGATCTAACGATAGGTTGAAGAGAAATAAGAAGGACGAGAGAAGTTAAGAAATTAAAAAAAATTTAACGTATACCTCCGTCGGAAAGTTTTAGAACAAGTCCTATATAATGGTGACGAAATAATGATTAAATTGATATTTCAAAGTTTAATTTAATCTCGAGTTCAATTTACGTCACTGATTTTTTTTTACTCTTGTATGAATAATTATTTTCGCGTTCAATAATATATATTTCGACAATTAATTTTTTTTGGAGAGATTTAATTTTATTATTTACAAAGCATGTCGAGTCTTTGTAGCTTGTATATAATATATAATATAATGAATTCTGAACAATAATTTAGAAACAGAGAGTATAAAGATAAAGATTTTAATAAATTCTTTCTTTTATTACCGCTATTTTTTTCTCTGTAATTATCCTTAATAATTAAATTGATATTTCAAAGTTTAATTTAATCTCAAGTTCAATTTACGTCAATTTTCTAAATATCTGAATAAATTCTGAACAATAATTTAGAAACAGAGAGTATCATAAAGATTTTAATAAATTCTCGCTTTTATTACCGCTGTTTTTTTCTCTGTAATTATCCTTAATGATTAAATTGATATTTCAAATTTTAATTTAATTTCGAGTTCAATTTACATCACGATTTTTTTACTCTTGTATGAATAATTATTATTTTCGCGTTCAATAATATATTTCGACAATTAATTTTTTTAGGAGAGATTTAATTTTATTATTTACAAAGCATGTCGAGTCTTCGTAGCTTATAATACCAAACGAGACGGTAATCCTAAATATTTTAATAAATCCTGAACAATAATTTAGTTAATAAACAGTATCACAAAGATTTTAATAAATTCTCTCTTTTATTACTGCTGTTTTTTTCTTTATAATTATCCTTAGTGATTAAATTGATATTTCAATTTAATTTTAATTTAATTTCGAGTTCAATTTACACGATTTTTTTACTCTTGTATGAATAATTATTATTTTCAGTGATATATTTCAACAATTAATTTTTTGAGAGAGATTTAATTTTATTATTTACAAAGCATGTCGAGTCTTCGTAGCTTATAATACCAAACGAGACGGTAATCCTAAATATTTTAATAAACCCTGAACAATAATTTAGAAACAGTATCATAAAGATTTTAATAAATTCTCTCTTTTCTTACTGCTGTTTTTTCCCTTGTAATTATCCTTCAATTCCTAGTCGTTTTTAACTACCTCCTACATACTACAATTTCACAGTTGGACTTTTCTCTCGAAGAATGGTATCTCCTACAAATTTATAAATATTCACACGTACGACCAAACGATAAAATGAAAAAGCGAGCGTGTCCTTTCGTTTCCAAAAATTCAGCAAGCGCCCCCTCAAGGGGCTTAACTCTCAAAATCTTGCGCTCTGTGTAAGAAGCATCTTCCTCGTAGAAGGGAGGGGAGGGAAGATAGACAGGTCATAAATAAAGAATGAGAAAGAATAACAGAAGGGGGAGGGAAAATGATGGCTCGACGCGAGAGATCTCCCTCTCTACCGCGAAACGAAATCTCGACTCCCTGTCCGGTAGCTAAGTGCTACCTACTCTTGTAATTATAAATTATTACGTGACGCGTGATAGATAGACCATACGCATTAAATGAAAGCACTCGTCCCGGTAATTATACCGATCCGTAGTTGCTTTCTGATTTCCACCCGAAACCCGTGATTTACATCGAGCCACGCCGCATTCACCGCACGTCCACGTCGACGAGGGTTTAATTCGCGAAAGGACCAAGCAGTATTCGAGGACGATCGAACACTCCAGTCGATCTTTCGTTCATTCTTCCAATGAGTTTCCATTCATTTCCTTTTCTTTCTTTTCTTTTCTTTTTTCTTTCTTTTTATTTCGAAAGCCTCATCCGACTTGCTTTCCGACTCGATTTGCGACTTGCTTGGAAATTTCTAATTTGACTCTCACTTTACGTTTCTTGCGTCTCTCGCGTGAAAATTGCGCGTTTCTAGATTGAAATCACGGTTGTTTGAACGTTATGACGTTTTATATATCGATTCAGCGTGATTGGAGAGTTAGGAAGATTAGAAAGCATTCGAAATCATGAAATTGTATTGTCAGGATGACGCTTCAAGGCGGAATTTTTAAATTGAAATTAGAGCATTGAATTCGAAATATCTCACTGGGAAAGAAAAAAGATGGAAAACGTCGAAGGGATTTTTTGTACTTTGAAAAGTATTCTCGCTCTTCAAATTTTTTTTGTCAGGATAATGTGACAATTGTGATAATATTGTAAAGAAAGGTTCCATCGCAATATAAATTCTCAAAGACTACTATGAAATAGAATAGAATAGAATAGAATAGAATAGAATAGAATAAAATAGAATAGAATAAAATAAAATGAAATAAAATAAAATAAAATAAAATAAAATAAAATAAAATAAAATAAAATAAAATAAAGTAAAATAAAGTAAAATAAAGTAAAATAAAGTAAAATAAAGTAAAATAAAGTAAAATCAAGTAAAATCAAGTAAAATAAAGTAAAATCAAGTAAAATCAAGTAAAATAAAGTAAAATAAAGTAAAATAAAGTAAAATAAAGTAAAATCAAGTAAAATCAAGTAAAATAAAATAAAATAAAGTAAAATAGAATAAAATCAAGTAAAACCAAGTAAAATCAAGTAAAATCAAGTAAAATCGAGTAAAATAAAGTAAAATAAAGTAAAATAAAATAAAATAAAATAAAATTTCACCAGAAGCAAATTTTTATCATTTTATAATTTTCCCTACTCTCTGTCTAGTATCCGAGTGACGATGAAATATTTAATCTCACTTATTCGACTTCCATTGATCGTTCAATTCAAAAAACGCTATACTGAAACCCAGCCGTGAATAATTCAATTTAGGATACATTTTTTTAGAAAATCCCTTCGAACTATCCACCGTGAAAAATTGAGGAAGCCCGTGGAAAATGTCCCGAACGGCAGGGAGAATTACATTTAAAAGCCGCAGGTTTGAGACTTCGTGTTCCGAAGATTTATGGGGCCAGTATCGTTACGCGTAACACGTAGAAAATGTATCGAACGTGACGTTGCGAACTTCCAGAGGATTCGAGTAGTTGGAGCACGTTGTTCATCATTACGTGAAACTGCATGACGATGTGTCTTTCGACACACGTTTTCGACAAGATACGACTAGTTTCCTGAAAGCGGATCTACGACGTAATCTAGGGAGAGCCCACGCTGTCATTCACAAGCAGCAAGCAGTCTTATTTGATTCATGCTTTCTGTTTGAATATACATACGTACGTAGTAGCGCGTTACTTGCAAAATCTTTTATTCTTTTTATAATACGTCCTTTCTTGCTGGAATTACTAATGCAGATGACTTGTATTCGACATTATGTGAATCAAGCTAAACCTCGAGCAAGAAACAGATGAACATATGTCTATTTTGATTTGACATAGATGTTGAATGATCGATAATCGTTGTTGATTGTGTTCGACGTTGCAACGACGATGATTTCAATTTAAAAAAAATAGGACAGGTTAAGATTATTTGAGCCAGTTCAGAACCTCAACAGCTTGAAATTCAGTCTTTCTACGAATCAAATTAAATTTTAATATCAAATTTGTTATTCAAATTAAATCTTTAATACAATAGCGAAAGAATATTGGATTTAACAAGAAATACTCTAATAGTCGAGAAAATAAAGATGACAAGGACACGCGTGTTAAAAAAATTCATGTAACTCAATAGTCGAAGAAATATCAAGATTGACGACTTTCTTGATCTCTAAGTAATTAAAATTTAATACCAAGAAACTGATTGTTCTAACATTCAGAAATTCTGTTGTCTGCTGTGAAATTTTGTCTACTTATTTATTCAATTATGAAAAATTCCACTGTAACAATGGATATTACGAAAGAAATCATTGTGCCAGATGAACACGAATATTTTAAATATGCAATTAAAATTACTCCGCAATATTTTGCAGGAAAAAAAAGAATTCAGTTCTATCTATTACATGTGTGTGTGTGTGTGTGTGTAATATATATATATATATATATATATATATATATAGTATTTATATATATCTATACACATATATTTATATATTTATATATATGTATATGTATATAGTATTATATATATAATATTTTAGTAGTTCTCGTATATCTTTGCAAGTACAATAAAGTTGGAAAAAAATATATATATATATATATAAAAATATATATATATATATATTTTTTTCCAACTTTATTGTACTTGCAAAGATATACGAGAACTACTAAAATATTTGCAGAAACCACAGTGATTGAATATTCTTTCAACAACGATTTACGATTAACATAACATCATATGACAATACATGGTTTACTATTTTAACACTTTATTTTACGATGATTACCCTTCTTATGTTCTATGTTTAGATGATTCTTTCGATAACACGTCTTCCGGTGTACTGTGAATCATGGATTTTGCAGTAGCGATTCTCCGTACAGTCGTAGAGAGAGAGAGAGAGAGAAAGAGAGACTCTGATTGCGTTATGTTGTATTCATTAGCTAATGAGGATTCCTGGATCACGTGACGTGCGTTTTAATTAAAAGAGCCTCGTGAAATGAAATCACGTTTTTCGATTAGCTTTCGCAATCGGCGAATTACAGCGATCCTCTGCTTCGTTCCTCCGATTTATTAGCATTATTGGTAATCGAAATGATTGTTTTATAACTTGTCAAGTATCTAAGTTGACGACTCGAGGCCAATTGGTTCCTTATTTCTTTGTCATTACGTCGGATGATGGATTGCGTGTCGTACGAAGTTGTTAATAACTATTTTTATGATACAATTACTGTCCAAGGTTACACGTAACCGTGACACCGTGTTGTAATACCCTGACTGTATATTAGTTTGGAAAGTTCTGCCGCAAGGTGTCTGACTCTCGTTTGTTACTTGCACATGTGTATGTATATATGTATTACAAAATTTTTGTGGCCATCAGATAAATGAAAATTATTTATTTTTAATTCTTTTAAGAGCCGCTATAATCATCAAGTTGGACGCAGCTGATATTAAGGAAACTCATTATTTTATTTTATAAACATAATTTAAGCAAAAATTCCAAACCCGATTGAAAAAGTCAATTTATATATATATATATATATATAAAATATATATTAAAAATTTTTAATTGAACGTTGAATCAATTATGAATTTTCAATTTATTTTTACTTGCATAGGAGAATAATATTTAGACTCAAGAGACTCTAGATTTTCAAACTTGATGCTCTCGAAAATTAATGTGAGACGCAAAGAAAAAAAATATATTTTTTCTATTCATAGAATAATATTTTGAATTTACCATCGCTTCGTAATATAAATTCTCGATAATTTTATTACACCTTTAAATGTAGATAAACGCACGACACAAATGTTATAAATTCACAAATTTATAATTTTCGTATATAATTTCTTTTGATACAACACCTCGCGTAGCTATAATAACAGTTCAAAGAATAAAATTATCCTTAGGTGTTTTATTCGTGATATCACAAATTTACATTCTGCCAATAAATGATAAGCGAATCTCTGGGCAACTTTGAACGGCAGTGTGTATTTTATTATAAAATGCATATGTTAATTTCGAAATAGGCGCCATACGAACATGCTTCGTATAACGGATAGCACGATGAAACGCGAGGAACTATTTGCATAATTAATAACGACACTTGGTCATTTCTGTGAGTTACGCTTCTCACGATTGCCAAATCGTCTTCCTCGTCGAGTGTATCGATCGTACTTCAGTGAATAATTATTCAAAGTTCTGACAGTCTCGTCGAGCTAATGAACCGTATCGTGACTTGTGAATAATTAAACTCAGTGCTTCTACGTGGATGTATCTCTTTTTTTTTTTTTTTTTTTTGTCGAATTACGTTTCTTGTCATGCATCTTTTTATTGTATCCCATCGATCATTCTCTTTGAAAAAATTCGTGGATCGTTACGTAATTTAATCGTGTCAGAATACTTGTTACGTTATGTAAAAAGTGACTATTCGAGATTTAAAATTGTTCGGCACATTGGTCACGAATTTTCAATAAAGAATAATTACGCGATTCTTTTCTAGACACGGTTGCACCTTAATTAAGCAATTATTAAAAGCTTTAATTATTAATTAATTAAAACGTATCAATCCCCGATACAAAATCTTTCGCAGATACTCGAAATTTATCCAACTCGGTTTTCTTCCCCCCCCATGTTTCCTCGTACAAGCTCTTTACTGACTCGTTACAGGCACTTTATATGCGGGACAGACACTTTCCTCGTTTTCTTATTCAAATCGTTCCATTACACATTGCACAGCGGCTGCTTACCCTAGAATTAGTGGAACTTCGATTATACAAGTTAGTAGGAAGGGACATATTGCCAATCTGTCGTTTCCCCTGTCAGCAAAAACTCACCCGACGCAAGGCTGAGGCTAATGACGCAAAACGAAAGCGAAGTTAATTGTTTGATTGCTGTTTCAGCGATGAAACGACGCGCCACCATTATTACCTGCAATTGCGCGACAATGTCGTCAGGCACGGCGGCGGGGTGGAGAGCCTCCATTCTCACCATCCCTTACACGAACCGTCTATCGTCACGCCGTTGCTCACACTCGCCGGTCTTGCCCTACAAGCCGATCTTGGCGACTTCTCCGAGGAACGGCATAAGCCACACGCAGGATCTGTCGGATACTGCAAGCCCGCCGATTACCTACCGTCACACGTAAGTGGTCATTTCTTTTCCGCGATGCTTCGCCTGTACTTCACTGAAGGTGGAATTTCCTAAAACGAGTTTTCTCAAACTCTATGCACGCGTTTGTTCTCGTAATCACTTTTCGGATTTCTTTTCGGAAAATTTGATCAGATTATTTTCAGAGCATTATACTGTCAAATTATCATTTAATTGTAAGAATGTTTTGATTTGTAAGAATTTTTTTCACTAACTCTTTCGAAGATGTTACTTTGTGTTTATTATATGATTCACAGTATTATTATTGTCGCTTGTGAATAAAATATTTTTCATAATTTTTTTGAATATAATCTTCGAGTATTCTGAAAGAATCTGCTTCGCTTGATAAATATTATAATTAGTTGTATTTATTACATGATTCATAGTATTATTGCTTGTGAAAAATTTAATCAGATTATTTTCAGAGCATTATACTGTCAAATTATCGTTTAATTGTAAGAATGTTTTGATTTGTAAGAATTTTTTTCACTAACTCTATCGAAGATGTTGCTTTGTGTTTATTATATGATTCACAGTACTATTATTGTCGCTTGTGAACAAATTTTTTTTTATAAGTTTTATAAATATAATCTTTGAGTATTTTGAAAGAATCTGCTTCGCTTGATAAATATAATAATTAGTTGTATTTATTATGTGATTCATAGTATTATTGCTTGTGAAAAATTTCTTTTTCATCATTTTTATGAATACAATCTTCGAGTATTTTAAATGAAAATTTGCTTCGCTCGATAAATATTATAGTTAGTTGTATCTTCGAATTTTTCGTAAATATGTAGAAATTCACGCTCTCCGAACGAAGAAAAATTACAATTCTCGAAGGTTTACTTTTTGAATTTTTTTAAATTTTAGCGCCAAATTTAGCACTCGATCGAAGCTTAATCCCGAAACAATTATATTTGAAGTACATTCTCTTAACAATTAGACTTGGCACTATTCGTAACGTTTCGAGGCTTAATAAATAATTTATTTCAAAAGCCTGTGTTAAATCGACAACGTTTAATTCTAAAAGAAATTTAAAAAAAAAAAAGAAAAGAACACGCATACAGTATTTTATCCACTTCTCTTTTCATTTTGTAAAGTTAATCGATTTAACAAACGAACTATCTACCCAAAAACGAACGTATCACACACACACACACACACAAAAAATCCCAATTTCCTGATTATCAATGGAAAGTAGCATCACATCACCAATAATTACATCGCACGCGAATTACACATTCACTATATTTTGGCCGAGCGAAACGTAAATCTTCAACGCTGTATAGACTACAGGCTACGATCTGTTTTTCAACGATTCAACCATTGGAATGTAGGCCTATTCCAAGCGTCGATATCACGATCGTAAAGATCGCTCGACATACCGACACACACGGACAGTTTAATTCCAAACGCGTTTACGCTGGCCCGTTCCGTAGCTTCGGCGGACTTCGGCATAGTGTTATTGAATTCTCATTTAAACGTAATGAACGATTATGTTCTATGATAGATGTGCCTCGAGTCGGATGTGCTCACGGTGCTCGCGGCACAGCACAGGGACAACCAAGGTTTATCGAGGGAGGAGGCAGAGCTGCAATACATCCGGGAGGCGGTGCTGTTGGAGGCGCCGCTCAACGCTCATCTCTATCGGTTACGAAGAAGCAAGAACGAGGCAGGCCCAGGACGCATATTCCTGGCGATTTGCGATCGCGGGGTGCGAGTCTACACCGAGGAGGAAAAGCCTCGGGTCTTCGCCTGGAACAATATCGGCAAACTCTGCTTCGACGTTAGTTTCGTTTCGTTTCGTTTGGTAGTTGTTTTCGAATTACAGTTTGTTCTTTTATCGAAACTGTTCCTGAAGACTTAGAAAGAGATCGAAAGTTTAAGGCGATTGCTTGTCTGACAGATGCGTATTTTTTACAAAAGACAGATTTTAATACGTGCGCTAAGAACCTATTTTTTTTTATTTTACATATATGTTAGATTATCGGTCAAAACTTTCAGAATCTTAATTTATAATCTATGATTCATGCATGTAATTTATAATATGTGAATTATAAATTATAAATTAAGGCTATATATATATATATATATATATATATATATATATATATATATAAATGATTTATAACTGTGTAGAGAGCCAACATTATAATAACGTGTGATAAATATTGGCTGTTACCGTTAATAGTTTTGATTATTTTATATTCCAATTGTTCAATTGGATTAACGCTGTGGTGTTATCAAATATATATTTTCAAATTTTCGATCGTATATAAATTATCCAACATCTTTTAGAAACAAAATTGACCACTTGTTTATACGTAACGATAATTTCCAAAATTTTACATTTCACACGCATAAACATCCGCAGCCCGGTGACTATACCGATATGATATATAACGGAGTTGTTTGTTGCATTACCGCTACAGCGGAAGAAGTTTGAGATACGGGCAGTCGATCAGCCGGACAAGCTCACCCTCTACAGTGGATGCGATGAAAAAAGCAAGCTGCTTCTGGGACTCTGTCGAGATACCCATCAGTTCACCATGGCCATAGCACCTAGAGTAAACGAGGTGAAAAGGCGAGAGGAGGAAGGTCAGTTCGATTTCATCGGGATATTATACTCTTCAAAGTTAATTTCCTTTTCTACCAATCTTAGTGATCAATTTCCCAATATACACGTTCCGTTATATTCTTTAATTTCCCCCTTTTAAAAGTAAAAAAAAAAAAAAAAAAAAGAACGATTAAATCACCTATCTGCCTCGTGGTAAATTATCAAACGACGTCTGCAATTTTCTGTCAAAGTCCCGTCAGCCTGAAACTTGCGAGTTTTACGTTGAAACGTGCGTAACGAGGTTGAGAACGTTCGCGATAAATTTCTTCGAGCCAGAGCGCAACGAGTTATATCTGACGATCGATGCTGTCTTTTTGGACTTCAGAGAGGAAGGTACTTCGCGACTGCTACATGTATCCTGCCCGATACAAGCTGAGTTTAACGGCACGTGGGGCGTGCGGTGACCAACGAATTTCTGTTATCTCGAGCACGTCGTCCAATACGACTTCTGGAATTGTCAGCGACCGGGTTCACAGCGAGGACGAGCCAGATATGGCGCCCGCCTCGACCGAATGTTTGCCACGTCTTACTGAGAGCACTTCGTACCCCGGTGCTCAGTGCGGCGTTGTGAACGGCGCGAACGCGGACAACGAGGATCGTTCCATGCCGTCCTCGCCAGTCTCCACCGTCGATGGTAAACTTATCTCCATTCTACAAATACAAGGAATTCGACGATAATGATACAATGATAAGCACGACGAGAATTAACAAGGAAGAGACTACTTTGTTAGAGTTTGTACTTTCGAGTCAACAAAATTAAAAAAAATTCGTTTTCTCCTTGGAACGTTTACAAGCGGATTTTTTTTGTATATACGTGAGATGGATTGTGGATTAAATATAAAGGTGAAAGCACTTGCGTAGTAGTTTAACGTTAATTGTTATTTTGAGAGGAATTGCTTTTCAATTTTATCACCAGCCATTTTGCTACTGAAAAAGTCTTATGCAAAAAGATGGCAAATAAACACAAGTTTATTTTAAGAGTATGCATTAGTAAGAGCATTAAGGGGAATATTTCCATTTAACGATATCACAAGAATTGACTAATATATTTATAGCTTTCAACGTTAATGCAAGTATTTGATGCAGATAATACACGCATATTTATGTAGGTATTTCAGTCGTACAACCTTGGAAATAATCACGCAAATTTCAGAGGTCGACGGTACAGACAGCACACCCACAACTGTTACGTTGCGATTGGCATCGAGCGTGGTCACGGCTGCTGAGGGGTCACAATGTAGCAGCAGCTGCAGCACGGTCGTGGTTGTGAGTGCACCTGCTGGTGGACCGCCGCGAATGCGGCGCACATCCGCGACTTCCAGTCTGGAACTCGGTTACTCGCATACGGCACAGAATTCAGCAGTTTCGTCGGAAACTGCTAGCTTTCCAGGCGCCATTTATGATAGATGCAAAAAAGGTGGCAAATACGCAGGTAAGTTTCAAAGGGAATAATTTACAACCTTCGGTGAAAGAGGTACAACGCGATCTCGCAAAGAAAAGAAAAATATACAAAAATATATATATCACTATCGATTATATATAGCGTGATTATGTAAAAACATTTTCTTCTCAGGCACTGATATTGCAAGCGAGACCAGCGGAGTATATACTCTCAGGAGTAGCGAGATACAGGATGAAAGAATGGCAGATCTATATTCACCAACCGGTGACGCGAACGGATCTTCCACGGCGAGCGACGTGTGTGCCTTAAGTTCCGTCCAGTCAACGACCGACGAGGCGTCCGTAACGTCCGGTTTTTCTACCATACCCAGTGGCCTTAGATCCGAAACGAGCGACGTTTACACGGAAGATGTTGGCGCGGAGGATCAGGAACCAATTTACAGCGTCTGCAAAGGTGACGAGGACGTTGGTAACGTGGTGTCGACCATAACGGCAGCTCTGGATCAGCAGCTGGAGGACTCTAGATCACGTAGCAACAGCATACTCAGCGTAGGAAGCTTCAGAGGCGACGGGAGTGATCCTTCCAACGTCGGGCCTCTGCTGTCAGCCAACGAGCTTTCCGACTTGATAGTCGGGCGTTATCCTCCTCGGAAAACCATCAGCAACTCCATGGATTCCGATTGCGATTACGTTACCATGCCTCCGCCACCTCCGCCGCCAAGAACTGACAGCGACAGGCAACTTCCACCACCACCTCCTTACCCAGCGAGCATGGACTACGCAACGATAAACTCGACGCGGCCCAACATATCCGACATCGAGAGGGAACCGCCGCCTCCGCCACCGTACAACGCCACTCGCAGCGAGTTTGTACCTCTACCGCCGCGACGGACCGATCCACCGCCACCGCCACCTTACACCTCGCCCAGAGAAAGAATTCAGATACCACCGCCCACGCCTCCGAGAAACGACGCGATAACGCCCAGAGAACCACCGCCGCCGCCGCCGTATCCGGAGGTGTCGGAGGTCACTCGACAGGAAGCAATCTCCAAGCTGTATCCAGCCACCAGCGAGGAGATCGTGTCAAGGGTCGTGACGTCGACGAAGATACAAACTAGCTTGGCGAACAGCATGATGAACGCCACTCTGGCAGCTTCGAAGACAATCAGCGGCAGCCAAGCGAACGTGAACGTGGACGTTGCTACAATCGCCCCGAAACCGCCACCCAGAATTCAACCACCCACATATCCCGGTGACAAAATGAAACCCACGCCGGTCCATGCTCCCGTAGCGGCTCTTGTCGTTGGACCGAACAATTACCTGGATGTGCACGCTTCACGAGGTGGTCCGGTCTTGTTGCCTTACTTAACACCACCGCCGCCCCCGCCACCCCCTCCACCACCCATGGTACATCCCAGACAACCTCCGCCGCCACCGCCCAGCTTGGCTACCGTTTACACGAGTCAAGTTGCGAGGTCGCAGATCGAACAGTACAAGCAGCAACTATACTCAGACGTCGATTACGTGATGTTCCCTTTGAAGGATCCCGCGGTGTCGAAGCAAGAGTACATCGACGCGAAGCAGGGATCGCTTCTGGCTGCCATGGCCGCCTATCCTCCCCCGCCTTATCCCTCTTTTAACAATAAATCGTTAGTAATGTATCGTAGCACACCGTACCTTCCTGGCTCCTCGTTCTCGTCACCCACGAAATACGCTTCGAATCAAAACCTTAGTAGCAGCGACACGAGCTCTAACAATTACTTACCGCATAGTAACCTGAGCAGCCACTACGCTGCTAGTACAAGCTCACTATATAGCGGAGCTACTTGTTCGTCGGCAGGAAGTCAGAGTCTTAGACGCGAACCGCCAGCCCCAGCTCATCCGCACACGCTGCACGCGTTCTCCAGGACGAGAAGCGACGAGAACATATTGAAGTGTTTCGACTCGCCTTCCAGCAACAAGCTGCAGTCGCTACCGCAGTTCAAGCATCGCCGACTTCCGCCACCTCCGCCGCCGCCGCCTTACGAGATACAGGTATTTCCTTGCGACGTACACCCTTGATCTCTTCTTTTTCTCCTTTTCTCTTTCTACATCATAGAGAGAACCTTTGAATAAAAAAAAAATCAAGCAAAATTGGTTCTCTGTGATGCAGAGCAATCATCGTTGCATAGGAACGTACAACGAGTGTCAAAGTGGAAATATAATATTTACCAATTCCAACGAGATAAGATGTACCTTTGAAACTTAACAATTTATACAATGTAATCGCATTTTGTAAAATAAAATGCCGGAAGAAGAGTATTGGAAAAACTTTTTTAGAATAAAATATCTTGAGCATTTCCATGAAAATCTTTAGAATCTATAAATTCTAAACGTTACGATAATGTAACAGATGATAAGTCTCTCTACAGGTTGTTCTAATATCCAAATATATTAATTCCTATAATCAAGGTTCCACTTTACAGATTCTCCGATAATAATAATAATGATGAAAATTACGATTTACTTGCAGAACCTCGAGAAGAATCAACCACTTCCATCCGCCTCTTCATCGTCTTCTTCGCCGAAGAAGACGCCAAAAGCAATAGCGATGGAGGAGTGCGAGGAAGGGAAAGAAGACGGAATGTTGGACATACGAACGCTTCGCGAGAAGAGTCGTAACCTCGACTTGCCGCTGATATCGGCGTTGTGCAACGACCGGTATCTGTTGAAGCAGACGAAAGCGTTCGTGATGCCGAAGCATCCCGCCGAGGCGACCTCCTCGTCGTCCGCGAAGAACGGCACGAGAAGCAGCAGTGGCGGAACATCCAGCAGAAACAAGTACCCGGTCAGTGGTCTCTCCACCACGCAGATCACCAAACCTCCGAGGAAATCATCGACGAGTACTCACAAACACCCGGCCGAGGTGAAGGGCAACGCTTACAAAGTGACCAACTCGACAGGCGTGTCGGTTGTCAAGAAGGATCCAACAAGAGCGTCGCATTCGTAGGACAGAAAGCGGGAAGAAAAATGGAAAGTGGAGGAAAGAGAGTTGGCAAACTCTTGCAAACGTTATTCGAAAGTGACCCATCGAGGACCAATCGTCTTCTACATTTGATCTGCATCATTCTTTCTCAATCATCTTCGAATCTCTCGGTTTCTCAGCATTGTCATGAAATTGAAATTCCACGTCTCTATTTCTTCTAGTCAGAGTGTAAAATTGTGTACGATTGAAAGAAATTGAAATATTGATATGTAAATCATCGTTTGGCCATTGATGGGTTAAGTACGTCGTTATACCTCGATCAAACTACATTCCACGAAACTGTTCGAACCATTTCCATGACTGTTAACGCTCTGCCCTTGAAATATATATCGGGCAGCAATAAGCGCGAGGAATAAGGTTGTCTCGACACCTTTTAAGTACTTAAATAGCGTTTCTACACAAACCGTGCTTCTTCAACTCAGGGTGCCATGTTTTATCGTTTACGATTCTCCTGCTCGTCGCGAATACTCGAAGAAGGAAAGGAAAGGAAACGAATGTCCGACGACAGATCAGACCTTCGCGAGTGTTTGAAAGGACACACCGTTGCGAAGCTGTCTGTTAATGTAATATCTCTCTTCTTCTCTAATTCTCTCGCTCTCGTGATCTCTCTTTGATACTCCTGGAAAATTGTACTTCTCCCTCTTGCAGACGAAGCTTGTTTCTTCTCTTTCGTACGTAGAGTAGTTGAAATACACACACCGATGATAAAAGCGTCCATTCTCAAACCCTCTCTCTCTTTGTTTTTTGCTCAATTAAGCGTGAAACGAAAAAGGAAAATCGAATGCTATAGATTTTTTTTTTTAAATCTTATTAACGACGGAGGAGCTGGGGAAAAAAACGCTCTTACGTGTAGTTTATCCGAAACTAGGGTGACGATTTTCGTAGGTACTACTAATTACGCGGATATTTTTATACGAATGGAAACAGGTATAATTATTGTAACTAGCGAGATAGTACCGTTTCTTTTTTTTCTCTTTCTTTTTTTTTTCTTTTTTTGTGTTTACGAAAGTAATATTTATTACGATCCAGATCCATTCTGGTCTTTATTTTTTTTTCTACGTTTTTTTTTTTTTCTCGTTTTAATAACTTCGATCAGTGTTCGCTTTGTGACACTGTCTCTATCGATGCGTTTTCATGCATTATGCGTGTACGTTAACTGTAAGTGTAGTCGTTTATTTAGGAGAGTTTAAGCGTTAAGTGTACTCGATGAGGAAACGAAAAAAAAATAATATTGTTCCTTCCTCAGTGACTGGACATTTGTTATGGGAGAAAGGTTGAACGAATCCTTCAATAACGAGATAACCGCGAGAACACGCTGTTAATAGAAAATGTCTATACACTGCACTACAGAACGCGCACTAGAAGATAACACGTGACAATTAAGAATTGCGTAAGATTTGCGTGAAAGTGAATCATTCAAACATAAATATCTTTAGACTATAGCGTAATGAGTAATAATTTTAGTTGTCTAAGTTGACATATGTTAATTAATATTAGATATTAATAATACAACATGACCCATGTCTGTACATAGTATTTGCGAAATCATAGGACTTGTTGTAGTCGGAAACCTCATGTATGTACCACACGTCACCTCAGCTATGAAATAATAAACTTTTTTGATAATGAAGATCGTTACGAAAAAATGCTTCGTGTTGACTGTGTGAAACTGAGTAAACTTCATGCTACCTTTTATCGTGTAATTCACAACCATTCGTGTATGTATTATACTTCCCAATACGTAGTGGAAAATTAGTCGATATTTAACTATTATAATTTCGTTTCAAAAAAATCGTGCAACAAATTTTAAAAGATAGATATAAAGGGGAGAGTTTAGTTTTTATGGTCATGGTTGATTTAGTTGAGAAAAAAGTTTCTTTCGTATCCGCGAAGACGTATAAATTTGCAATACTTTCGAGAAAGGGAGTATTGTTATTTATCTTCTTGATGTGAAAACATCTTGGTAGCTTCATATTCCAAAATGCGCCTATTTCTATTGTTCCTACGATTTCCCCTTGTGACATTATAGCAGTTTAAAGTGTCTATAATTTTCGTTTCTTTCAAAGATTTTGAAGATGTTTCCTCTCTCAAAAATTCACAGAAAAAAAATTTTTTCTCAACCATGATCATCTACAATGGTCAAAGATTGAAGTATTATCCTTTTACAATTTTTTAAAACAAAGTTATAACAACTCAAATCGTCAAATTGTACCAACACAATCGCAGTAGCTGCACAATAGCTCGTTACAGTGCTAATGAAGCACGAGGAAAATCATTGAAAGTAAGTAAAGAATCTACGCAGAATCGTAAGAACCGCTTTACGTTTACAATCACGGTCGTCTGTTCGTGCTCTATGTTCATAATTTCATTTTCTGTTCACAGATAGCGTAACAAGACTCGCTCGCGCAGTGCTGAAACAAAGTTGCGAACACTTGGTTCGATTGACTTTCACCCAAGATGTATCATCTAGTTGAGAGATCGTTGCCTTGAAACGTACAAGGGGAATACTTTCGATATAGTAATTCGTGACTCAAAAGCCCTGCAGAAAAATAGCTCGCCGAATGAAGCACATGCGCAATAGTAGTGGTAAATGGCCACTCGCCATGCGTTGGAAGGAGAGACGAAATCAGATAATATTTCGTACGATAACAGGAAAGTAAACGTATTACTTTGATCAATACTCCACACGCTAGTCGTCGGCCGCGGTATATATAAGGGTTTCAACATTTTACTCCTTCCTCAGTTGGTAAAACGTCATTACGCGTTGTGATTTTACGCGGAAAATTTGGATGACGCGAAGTGCTCCGAAACGATTTGGCAGCGTCACTTATTGAACATACTTCGTGGTGACACCGAACCCTAGTTTACGGTGAGGACTGTGTTTGTTTTTATGATTGTCTCGACGATTGTTACGTATTAACGATACCAGCCTCTCATTTTTCCCATGAAATTTGCAACACTTGACACCTGTTTTAAGTCATAACGTTAGACAAAAAGTTATCGGAGAGGTTGCGTACTTGGATTTTTCGGAGCTGATCTGTCGACAAGGGTTGCGTTAGATCGAAAAAGAAAGAAACAAATGGGTCAGAGAGATGTACATGTATTCGGTAGATTCTTTGTAGTCGATCTGTTGGAAACAGGGTCGTGTTGTCAAATTCATCGAAAATATTGAATTGGTGACCAACTAACCTAACGATTCGCGCATATTTCCTGGAACAACGTGGAAAATCTAGTGCACCAATAATTTTATATAAACTTTTACGTTTCTTTAACCTCTTCAATTTCATGCGAATCGCATTACCAACGCTAGAACTATCGACGAGATTAAAGTGAAACCTCTGTCAGAAACATTAAAGTAAAAGAAACAGAAAAAAACTTTATAATGCTTTGTAACCAGGGTACATGAACTTTTATTTGTGTGTTTTACGAAAAATCATTTAAATCTCTAAAAATACACTGTCTCGAATCTATAAAATTTCTAACGAAAATGATAAATTTGTATCATTTTGAGCATTTTGGTAATTCTAGTAATAAACTGAATTATTGTAACAATAAATTTATAGTTTGTGAACGATGTAAATTTAAATCTCCAAAGCCATCTATATTTGTGCAAAAAGTGTTGAACGTAGAACGAGGACAATAGAAGTTGGAATAATTATGCCACGATTTATTCTCTGATTATTTTCCACCGATAGTTTATATCTGTTAGCATTTTGTGTGTTAGTGACTTATTCATTTCATAGGAATTTCATATTATGAATTTAAATCTGTCAGTGCTCATCAATCAAATTATTAAAAGTCAATATATTAGAGGAAGAGTAATATTATTATAAAGTATTAAAATATTATTATAATTATAAAATATTATTATAAATAATATTATTATAAATACTGTAAAGAGTTGTCTATGGTTGCATTTGGAAAATTATTACTGCAGTAATTTAATTATATTACTTTTTCCTGTCAATCGGAATAAAATTTTATGAAATTTATGTTATTTAAAGGGGAACAAGTATATTTGATCCTTGATCCTACACTGAATGTGTAACTTGTATTTTTATGAGATCATTAGCTAAATATTTTTTTACTACTCACCTACTTAAAGTCACATCTATTTCAATGAAGATCTTTTGTAAAAATATTTGGAAACTGTGTTTGATTTTTACAAATTCCTATTTAAAAACTTTGCAAAATCTTTCTTTCTGAACGTATTTCTTCAATTCAATGCTAATGAATATTTATTTTATCTTATCTCTGATACTTTTAATTTTACCGATTTCTAACATTTTATAACATTTTATCGTTATAATAGACTGATTCATTTTAATCTGCAAATGAATTTATTTATGCTAATGAACGAAATGAACAAAATACATGGTGAGAAAGAAATCATAATTGTACAAAGAGAGATTGTTCGCAAGGTAATTCGAAAATATGTTGAAAATTCCGAAATCATAATTTACATACGAAATTCTTTCTATAATTTTGTTCGAAATTCTTTCTCTGATCTTACAAATTATCCAAATATAAATTTCTTTTATATATATATTTTTTTGAAATTACATTTCTATAAATTAAAGAAAATTCTTTAGTAACTTTTTTATCTATCTGGAAATTTTTTTTAGAATTTAGACATCATTGATCTGCAGCGATAATAGGAATGGAAAAATTTTTAGAAACGTAGTTATGTTTAATCCTTTATGTCTGACATTCCTTTAAGTCAGCTACGACATTCTTACTATAGTTTAAAATACACAGGCAAGAGAAAAAAATAATACGAGATATTATAAGATAAGATATTATAAAGTAATATAAAAACATATATCTAATCTCTCGGGCTTCTTGAAATCTGCAATACTACCATAAATGAATCATTATATTTATACATATTTACATAATCTATATGAACTAAACAGAAACAATAATTTTAAATAAAGGCAACGTAATTTTTGAGTTTCTCAACAAATCAATTCTCCATTAGTAAAAGTATGTATCTAATACTTACATATGTACATCCACGTATATATATAATTGTGATAGATTCAGCCAATCTTTTTAATTAAGGTCAAATTGACAGCATTTAATTCTCACTTTACTCTTACGTAACATATCATTCTATTGTACAAATTCAACATTTATAATTTTGTTGAAGGCATTTGCAATAAACATAGTATTATAATAATAAATATCCGTAATCATGTTGTTTCAAAAGTCTTTGGAAACGTCGAGTTAGAAATATTATATAAAGATAACAGAAAGTTGAAAATTAATGTTTGCAATTTTTATAAATACTAAAAACTTTTCATGACATTTATGACTTAATGACCCACGTTGAAAGTGATTTACAGTGACAAAAAAAAAAAAAAAAAAAGGAAATTGCTCGCATTCAAATTTTAAATAAAATTACGAACAAATTTTGAACAAATTACGATATGAAAAATAAATCATGTTTTGTATAAATTACGATTTGTTTCAATAGAAATTAGAAAACAAAGTTTGGTTGGGTTGATTCGATAAATTTTTCTGAATCACTGTGTATTTTCTTATTATTCTTGTCAATTGTACAATAATTTCGTTTTGCAAAATTTTTTCATTTCTTTGCATACTTTTTTGTCACTGCATATATCATTTCTGTGTTCGATAAATTTCCTAATCTTTCTCCACGTATCTCTAGAAAATCTTACGACAGATGCGAAATTGTTCTTTCCTTGTTCCATTATATTTCTTCCTTCGTTGAGAGTTGAAAGTCACGACAACTGCGATTTCTGATCGATTGGTAACTTCTCGGTTCGTGGCAGCTGTGATTTTTGCAATTCCACGACCGTTATCAATCATTTCCACATGAACATTCGTCCGTTGTACTTTTACCAGCCGGCTACTAATTTTCTCTGTTGCAACTGTAGCTGCCTTTCGAGCGTGGATACCTTAGACGTGTTCTTAGATTCTTCGTGGCGAAAGATATGATCAGAATCGATCAATTCCGAAATTCATCTATCGATCTGTAAGCTTAAGCTGAAACACGAGTGACGCTGGAAAATCAAACGTTTCAGATCGAGGAAACATTTTCGATAATCGTGTGTTGTTAAACTGATCAGCTTCACTTTTTAGCGATTTCCCCAATTCTGTCACAGAGGTATACGATCAGCGTTCATGTTTCAAGAAATGATTTTTAATTTTGAATCACTTTGTCCAATGAGTTTGTTTATTACAAAAAGATGACATAAATAGTGACGAATTGCAAAATAAATGTAAAGAATGGTGTTCGCAAAATTATTACTCGATTACTTAATTTTAATTTGTGATAGACCAACATCAATTTATTATAATATAATTTAAATTTATTTGTTGAATACGTAGAGTAATGAACGATAAATTTTACGTATGAAATTTCATAATATAAAGATATAATTGATAATTGTCTCTGTTCTAAAAGAAAGCTGTATCTGTCTCTTGGTGTGTGAGCAGTTTCGATCTCAAAACTTTTCCAGTCGGTTGGGACCATATTTATTAATAAATCTTTGGCTTCTTTTCCATGCCAATATTGTCCCATCAATTTCAATATATTATGTTTTCTTCTTCAAAATCGTCCCGACCAAGAGAAAATTGCTCCTCAATCCAAGTAACGCGTGAAATTTTTTTTGTAGTCACAATTGTACGAAGATCACGTTCAATGGTGTAATCGGCGCATGGATACTCAAAATAAGATAAGAGAAAATATAGTTTCGTGATTGATATCCTTACCGTTTATTTGCCAAACGCATGTAAATTCTGTCGAAAGAATGTCGGTCGAAAAATCGGTAAAAGACTCGAATGTTTGTCTAGACATTTGCCTCCAGGAAAAGTGCGTTGACACGAGCTGCGCTGAAAACAAATAAGTCGTAAATCTGACTTGCAATCGAGCCTGATAAAATTTCAATTAACTTCTTGACGACGCATCTCGTATCTCGTGCGATTCATGCGTGTCTCGCTCTCGTCTAAAAAGTACATACGAACGTAGATTCATTAATTCAGATAACAGATACAATTGATGATGCATTTACATTAATTGAGAGATAGAATTGTGAGCGATATGCTTGATAGGAGGCTCGACGAGGCACATCGTTGATGTTTAGTATCGCACGGAGATTTTGATCTGCACGTGGAAATTTGATTGCACAAATTGGGTTGATTTGATATGGATATGATACTTGGAAATTTGGTTTGTGAAAGTCTGAGAGTGCTTGAAATTGCGTGAAAATTTCGAGATATGAAGATTCGATTCGAAAATTTGGGAGTCACTTGAAAACTTGCAGATCGTGAAGATTTAATTACGTAATTAAAAACGCGTGAAACCACGCGGAAATTTATCTGCACATAGAAATTTGGGAACACGTGATGCCACAGGAATGTTTAAAAGATACAACGCCTCTGGTATATATATAAAAAAATTATTATTATATTATACTAATATATATTAAATTATTTAATTTTATTTAATTTTAATTATTTAATTTTATATATATATAATTATTTAATATATATTAAATTATTTATATATAAATGTAACATATTAATATATATACATATACACATATATATTATTAAATTATTTATATATAAAATTTAGAAATAAAATATAAAATGAAATGATGAACATAAAATCTATTTTTAATATATATGTATGTGTGTGTGTGTGTCAATACTATGGACCTCTACTATTTTTTGCATAAAAAAACCAAAGCTACAAACATTAATAAAATGTGAAACGTTTGGGAATTACCTTTCCCTGAGTGTCACGAATTCGAAACTTGCAAGTTTCAATTTTTCATGCCTCAGATCGAAGGACACTTTGTTCTTCTAATATGAAGTAAATAAAAAAGAAGAACGATGTAAAATTACGTTCCTTGATCGTTTCACGATTATTTAATTGAGTTGCGATACTGATGCTACGTTATTTCGTACGAGCATCAGTATCAATCGATAAATCGGTAATTTCATGCGACAATTGACGCATGTCACGGCCACGTGCTTCGTTATAATTTCATTCAATTATTATCTTACGACTGGCACTTCGCCATTTTCAGCAATTTTTCATTCCAATTATCGCAATTACGTTACTCTTCTCTTCAAGTTTGGAATACTTTCGAAATGATTCATTGTTATTCATTTTATTTTCTCTTTCTTCTTTCATTTTGTATCGTACGAAGACATTTCACAATACGTTCTTTTCAATATCGTATATACGTTCATTTATCTTTAACAGAAACATTTAATGGTTTCTCCAGACGGAATTATTTATGTTGCATAGATTATGCTTGTTATTTTGTAGTTAACCTTGTAGATTGTACAGACATTATCGAAGAATTCATTATGTATAAATATAAAAAATGTGCTCAATGTGAAACGCAAGTTGTTGAAGTATAATCATATTGACTTGGTAGTATTTAACAAATATTGATATATTCAAATTGTCCGTATCGTGTAATGCAATATACTAATATACGTAACTTGCGATATAACATGAGCACAGAATATTACAAATGACATATGCACGTGGTTTATAGTTTCATTGATTTTATTGATTTTTTTATTGTACTCTGCATTACAGTGAGAGCTAAAATAACGGGGACAAAATTCTTTACATTAGTATTAATAACAGATACGGCAATAAAACAAGCGTTTACAAAGAAACATTGTGTTTCTTTATCATCTGATTAGCATCCGTTTAGCACAAAATTGTGAAAAGTGAAGATTTCTGCAATCTAGAATTTGTTAATTCCTAAAAACAGAGTAAATCATCTATTTATTCAATATAAATTACCTATAAATTTACTTATAATTAAATTCCTGTGTCTTATAGTTTCTCACACAAATTATGAATGAACACGGCACTGTAATGTTAATTTAAAACATTTATTCTAAACAATGTTCTACTATTCGCTATTTTAGTTTGTGATACAGTCTTTGTGTCGCATCAGATGAGAGCTCGTAAAAGAGAAACGTATCCAAACGAGGTTTTCATAATCTGTTAACACACATAAGAAATAATAATAAAATTAATAAAATCTCTCTGACACATAGTGTAACACGTAACGTATTATATGTATGCGCATACAGTATACATTCACACAATTCATACTCGAGTTCAAGATTTTATTTCTACTGGGCAAACGCAAGAATCGTTTCGGTTCTTTCATTCGCAAAATATAATAACATAGTACACAGTGACTGAATAACATTGAGTGTTGTGAAACGCGTGAGAGATATTTGTAAGATCGATTCTAAAGATCGGCACGGTAAATGGGATTCAGGTATAAAAATAACTGTTCAGTGACATTCGTTTCGGTTCGTGGATTCTTTGTTAGAGCGAGAAACAGGAAGCGAGTGAGTGAAAAACAAAGAAGAACACTTGCACAGCTGATTCATTCTAGCGTAAAACATAATTAGACTGAGAAATGCACGTGATACGAAAATCTGTATGAAACGTATAGCGCTTTTGTTTTAATTACACAGGGTGTTTCGTAACTTGTGGGACCCACTTCGGGAGCTGATTGTACGCCTAAAAATAATGAAAAAAAAGTCATATAAATATATGTCCTATATCTGTCTTCGTTTATGAGATACAATGAATTTTCTGTTTTAATTACTTTTACAAAAGATGCTCGAAATGACCAGCTTGCA